CCGCCCAGCGCGCACAACGCCAGGCCTAGGAGCCAGAGCGGGCCGGGAAGCGCGGCCATGGCGGGCCGGGGACGCTCAGCTGGCGCGCATCGGCTCCGCGGCCGCCCCTGGGCCCGGGGACGCCCCGATGGCGAGCGGGGAGCTGGGTTCGGCGAGCGGGGGGCCGGCCTCGGCGGGCGGCGTACGCGGCCTCAGCGCGGTCCCTGGAGCGCCCCCCGAGCGGCACCTGCCCCGGCTCTGGGACAAGCGGACGCCGACGCCACCGCCTCGAGGCCGGGGCTCCTCCGAGGACTGGGACTGTCAGCCAATCCGTCTGTCGCCGCCGTGCCCACCAGTCCGTCTGTGGCCGCGGTCCGCGCAGCGCAGGGTCGACGGGCGAGCTCCGGCAGCGACCAGTGCTGCGCGATTCCCGCGAGTCCCAGTCCCGGCTCAGCCGTCGGTGCCGCCCGCCCACCCCCGGGACTGACCAATGGGGGCGCGGGGGCGGGGCCGGGGCGCGGAGGCCACGCCCGCGAGGGTCCTGGGGCGGCGGCCGGTGTCGCGGGTGGGGCGACCCGGAGGTGCGAACTCGGGGTGGCTGGCAGGTGGTCCGGGCGAGGGGCCTGCAGCCTGGGCGTCAGCGTGGTCATGGCCGTAGTGGCTCCCGCCGCGGGCCTAGGCGCATAGATCCTAAGGCTGCGGCGCCGTCCCAGTCTCGCCAGTGGTGCCACCCGGTCGCCCTGCCGTGGTGTGCGGGGGTCGTCACCGGGCCCGACACGAGGCCCCAGCCCCGTCTGGAGAGCCGGGCGGTGCCAGCCAAGCCCCGGGGGTGGGGCACGTTCCTCTGCCCGCAGTAGCCGGCCCGGGTTCCGGCCACCGCGGCCCCTCGCCGCCTCCTGGCGCCTTCCCCGTGGCCCCTGCATGCGCTTCTGAGGGCGCCTCCTTCCCAGCACCTGCTCGGCTGCCTCTCCATGCGTCCCCCACCTGGCTCCCGCGTGAGCCCGGGCAGGGTCCCAGGCGGGCCGCCCCCGCCAGCCCACGCTGCGCGCCCTGCGTCCCCGGTACTGATACAGCTTTGCAGAGGAGACTCCGCTTCCTGCCTCCATCCGGGCCAGAGGCTCTGGGGCCCTTCCCGAACACTCGGGAGCCACCTGTGCACGTCTTCTTAGTCGCCACAGCCCCGGTGCAGGCCTGGTAGGAGAAGGATCCCCGCGGAAACGTCTCGACTGACTCAGTCTCTTTCTGCACACCCTGCTGTTCCCTGGGCGCGCTCTCGCCTTACATAATTATTCCTGTGTGGTTCAGGCGCTGCGGAAGAAGGCACCTAGACTGCGCTGGGAAAGGTCAGTGGAGGGAAGTGCTTCAGGCAGACGGAATAGCTTGTGCCAAGGCCCTGAGACCCCGGGGGGGAGCCTAATAATGGTAACAGTCAGCACTTTCCATGCGCGAGGCATGTTCTGAGTGTGTGTCCCGTGTCATTTCTGTGATGCTCGCACATCGTTAGGGGGTACATACCACTGGAACCTCCTCTTTTAACATATGAGGAAACTGAGGCACACAGCGGTTAAGGGACTTACGCCATGTCACACAGCAGTGGAGCTGGGCTTGGGCAGGGGGGCAGTAGAACCTGGAGAGCCCAGGGGGCAAATGGCCAAGGCTGGAGGGGCTGGCAAGGGAGGGACCGCAAAGGGCCTCACAGGAGCTAGACGAGAGCCCTGGGCACCAGATTATGGTGCCCCCCCATGTGGATTGAAGATTAAACCTTGAAGCAAGTGTATAATGCCCTCAAAATCACGTTTTGAAGTCATCACCTCAATAAAATTTTCTACATCAAATTAGTAATCTAAATAGTCATTTGCTGGTGGCTTAAACACATGCCTAGTTTGTCTTTTACCCAACAGGTATATTTCCACACTGCCCGTAAATTTTCTGCGCGGTCCCCAGAGCGCCCCCCATGAGGCACCTGCACGGGCTCCAGGCGGAGCAGACGTGGATGCCACCGCCTAGAGGCTGGGGCTTCTCTGCAGACTGGGACTGTCCCATAAGGATACTGAGCTAAGGATAATGCAGAATAACCGTTGAAAGTACCCAAGACCAGAGCATGGAAGCAGAGCGGAATATGGATCAGAGGGAGACAGGAGTCAGGGCCCTGCAGTTGGAGGCAGGTACAGTAATCAGATGTGGGAGTGGGTACAATGACAATGAGCTGCTAATGGTGATGGGGTGGAGGGGCAGAGAAAGCTGTTTAGGAGGCTGAATCCACAGGGCTTTGTCCCCATGTCATCTTGGTCAGAGTCTTGGAATCTCCTGTTCACGGCCCCTTCACTGTCCTCTCTGCATGCCCCTTTTGAATCCACTGCACATCACTTGAGGCCCTAGATCCAGCCTGTGCAATTCTCACGTTTGTTTTGTGCAATTCTGGGCTCCCAGCTAGACTGCAAGCTGCCCAGTGCTGGGCTGATTCTTAGAATAGAAATCATTTCTCAATTTACGATGTGGAGATAGAGCTGTGTTTTCTAAACAACGGGCTTCACATTCCCATAAACCTAAACAGCAGATTTTAGCCATTTCAAGGGCCTCTGCCTGCAATTCAGTTCAGCAACAACCACCGTGAGCTGCTCTGTGCTGTGCCCTGAGCCAGAGATGGAGCGGACAAGCCTCTGCCCCTGAGCAGACCCCACAGCAACAGGGGTGACAGCTGGTGAACACGGCAATTTCCCAAGGCAGAATGAAAGCTGTGCTCCCACAGAGGAGCCAACAAAGTGGCTGGAAGGGCAGAGGAGCAGGGAAGTGGGAGCAGACCATGTGGGAGTGGAATCCCAGAATACTAGGACTGGAAGGGAACTGAGGTGGGGTAGCTTTCTTGGAGAAAGTGGTGTCAAAACAAGGGCTTTCCCTAGCCACCTGGCAACTCTGTGATCTTAACCTCTCAGACTCAGTGTCTCATCAAGAAAAGGGGGCTAATGATCATAGAACTGATAAGGGTATTCAGTGAGAATGTATATAGAGCACTTAGCATAACCACTGGCTTACAGTAAGCACTCAAAAAACATGAGCTAGTTATTGCATCATTCAAGTCCCCAGCAGACACCAAATTTGCCTTCCTCATTTACCATTTCTATCACAGGACTGTGATTTTACATACACACACACACACACACACACACACACACACATATATATATATATTTTTTTTTGAGACGGAGTTTCACTCTTGTCACCCAGGCTGGAGTGTAGTGGCACAATCTTGGCTCACTGCAACCTCTGCCTCCCAGATTCAAGCAATTGTCCTGCCTCAGCCCCCCGAGTAGCTGGGATTACAGGTGCCCACCACCACACCTGGCTAATTTTTGTATTTTTAGTAGAGATGGGGTTTCACCACCTTGACCAGGCTGGTCACCTGACCTCAGGTGATCCACCCGCCTCAGTCTCCCAAAGTGCTGGGATTACAGGTGTGAGCCACCATACCCGGCCCAGAACTGTGATTATACTTTAACCCTTTTCCTAGCATCTAGTTATTTCCTACATGTTCTTGTGTGCAGGCATTTGTTGAATGGAAACGCACCTTTAGCCAGGCATGGTGGTGCACGCCTGTAACTCCAGCTACTCAGGAGGCTGAGGCAGGAGAATCGTTTGAGCTTGGGAGGCGGAGGTTGCGGTCGACCCAGACTGTGCCACTGCACTCCAGTGGGCAACAGAGTGAGTCCCTATCTCAAAAAAAAAAAAAAAAGAAAAAAAGAAAAAAAATGCACTTTTTGTTGGTGCCACTGCCAGGTGAACTTTGCCAGAAAACCTTAATTACTTGTTAAGATTCTGTACCATAGTCCAGGATCTAGGAAGATGGAGGTCAAGCTGGTCTCGCATGCTTCTCCTGCCAAGAGGCCTAGAAGGGGAAGCAAATTAGGGTGAAAACACTATCCTATACAAAGTCCCGGCAGCTTGAAGTTCCTCAGTTCTATGGAGAACAGAGTAAGCACTTCCTTCAGAATCCATTAGGCTCCAAATTCCTTTTAATCAGGATATTTGGCCTTCACAGCTTTGGCAAACATGCATCGACCTCACCAAATGCCTATGTCATAAGGAATGTGGCCTGATGACCAAGAACACAGGTGGCATGAGTTTCAGCCCCTTTACCTCCGAAGCCTCTAGCCCTTTTCTTCTTGTTACTAAGTTAGCATTTGGCTGCTCTATTATAAAGCCGACTGTCTAGAGGCTGGAGGAAACAGAAGTGCCAGACTTGAATAAGGAGTGGAGAACTTCAAGGTTCACTTCTGTCATTTATTCATTTCGTGAGCTCAGGGAAATCACTTTCTCTTCTACTTTCCCATCTCAGTTTCTCCATCTGTAAAACAAAGGAGCTAGATATGATGACCAATTTTGCTTCCACCTCTGAAATTCTACCACTTAACCAGAAATTTCAGCATACTGTGACATAGTATGAAAAATTGGTCCCATTCTCTCAGAACCCAGTATCTCCAAGATTTCTAGTATCTTTTTACATAATGCTATTTGTTTAATCATGTAAGTAGGACAGATATCCTACATGTTCATGTTAATATCCGTTTTTTTTTTTTTTTTTTTTTTTTTTTTGAGACAGGGTCTTGCTGTGTCACCCAGGCTGGAAAGCAGTGGTGCAATCATGGCTCACGTGATCCTCCCACCTTAACCTCCCTAGTAGTTGGGGCTACAGGCATGTGCCACCATGCCTAATTGCTTTTTTAGTTTTAGTAGATACAAGGTCTTACTATGTTTCCCAGCCTGGTCTCAAATTCTGAACTCAAGTGATCCTCCTGCCTTGGCACCCCATAGTGCTGGGATTATGGGCGTGAGCCACCATGCCCAGCCATATTAAACAAAATTAACAAGGATGAAAGAAAACAAAATCTATTAAGCTCTACAATTTATCCGTCAAGATATTTTGATTCGTATAATGCATTTAAGTACCTATAACATGATTATACTCCAGGGTAACATTTATAGATAAGGTAGTGCTTGAAAAGAAAATCAGGAAATACAAAATATTTGTTACTGCAAGCAATTTTAATACAAAAGTGTGTCTTGTTTTTAAACAGTTCATTGGTAGAGCTTCAGTTTCTGCCTCAATTAAAACCAATTGAGATAATCACACAGCAACATGGTCGGAGCTGAAGAACAGCAGCTAAAAAACAGGAGCCCCAGACAGCCCCTCTTCATGGTCACTTGGTCAGTTGACTTTATTACGCACAAAAAAAGACGAAAGCAAACGGGACTGGTTAACAAGTGTGCTGGTGAACTCCATTAAAGGACGAGCACGTGTTTGTCTTACGTCCACATTTTCAGAACAGGCTCATGGAATTCATTCCTCAGTTTGTGGGAAGTTGATCGACCATTTAAATAAATAGCAAAAAGAGTGGATAAAACAAATTTGAAATTCACAATGTCACCAACAAGCCTATCCCTTGCCAAGGGTCTGGGTCCTGGTGAACACAAGAGTTATCGGTGTCTAGGCTGGTAGGGAGCAACAAATCAAGTTTAAAACCCCAAATGTTCTGACGTTTTCTGAACATGTACATTTACCCCTGAATTCTAGCAGCCATTTGTCCTTTAAACACCCAGTACTGAAACAATATCCAAAGACAGTATTGCAATGAACTCCTTTTGCTGTATCATGTGCAAATGTTACTTAGATGAGGTTCCCTCTCTTTAGCTAAAAATCACAAAACATTAAACAATGGAAAAAGCAGTAATAAGTGCCCTCCCCTCAGTTCTTGCTAATTGAGGTGTCTATGATTTACAAAAAAAGAGTTCCTTAAACACTGCAGGATTCTTATTTTTTTTTAATATAATTTATCTTGCTGAGATAGCAAGTCAAGTTTATAAAGAAGATGCATTTAGGAATAATCCTAAAAGATAAAGCAGGTTTACAACCCTGCACCGCGCAGAAACCCTATTAATAGGCTTTTTTTTTTTTTTTTTTTAATACACATTTGTATCTTGACCTTTTTCACTTGTTTTTCTCAAATATTTCATTTCTGGGCCCCATCCATTACAGGGTTACCAGGAGGCAAATTTTATCTACATAAATATTCACATGAAAATAGTAACTTACAAAAAGAAAAAAAAATAAGGCAGCTTCATAACACAATTATTCTTTTACACTTTTAACAATATAACTTCTCCCGTTCAGAATAAATATACACCCAATGTACGGAGCAGGATTCAAAGTGGAGAGTGGCTTGGGGGTGCTTGGACAGTGTTATCGCTTGGGACCTGGAGTCCTGGGGGAGGCAGTGGTGGTCTTCTTAGACATGGTTGGGATTTTGGAAGGTTTGTTTAGCCCTCTCCTGGAGTTGCCTTGGCCCCCTGCAGCGCTGCTTTCTGAAGTGTCGGAACAAGCAGACTGTGTCTCTAAGAGGTCAAAGTCAGAGGCATCGCTTCCTCGCCGGCTGCTGGCTCGACTCCCGGCTCGACTCCCAGCCCGACTCCCAGGGCGACTGGCTGACTTTTTAGGGTCTGGAATTCAAGAATCAAACAGCAGACTTACAGAGACGGCATGGGGTGGAAGAACAAGTGAGCAGAGGCTAGGGTTCTGATCCTGTGTGATCTTAAGCAAATCTCACAGCCTTTCTGCACCCCCGTTTCCTCATCTATACAGAAGTTGCTGAGGCCTTTTCTAGCTTTGTGATTCTACTTGAGAAGCTGTCTCCTAGGGATTAGAAAGCCACTTCTATCAGCAGCACTGTCACCTTCCATGCCCCCAAAGTGGAGGCAAGCAGGGTTGCTCAACCACCTCAGCACAGGTGGGTGAGCCTGCCAGCTGGGCTAATCCATGGGCAGGATGGATAGAGGCCAAATGAGGGGAAGCAGCCAGCAGGAAATGAAGGCAGATTCCTAGGTTCCCATGAGGAACAGCAGCAGGGGAACAGATGTGATCTTCCCCTGCCTTTCTCAGTTCAACAGCAGCCATCATAAGTATGATGTGTTGGAAACATTACTAGCAAGCTGCTCATCCCAACACTGGACTGGTGTCTGAGGAAGACCCACATTTCCTTTTACATTCTCTCAAATGAGATCATTTCTGATGAGAACGCATGGCCCAGCTTTTGGCTGTGGAAGCATCTCATCTCAGAAGGAAAGCTTAAAGCTAATTGTAATGACAGAAAAAGTAAAGGTCACTTGAGCATCTGCACGTCTGTCTTTCTGGGCATTACACTAAGTGCCACTCTCATTACTGGCTCCTTGGGAGCAGTGAAACATTCCACACAGGCTGTTGTTTCCAAATTCTCAGCCTGGCTTGTAGGCCACGGGGCAGGTACTTACCTGCCCGGTTAGTTTTGGCACCTGTGGAGGCCGGGGAAGAACTATTGCTGGTATCACCAGCAAGGGATGTCCGACTAGAATGAAAAGTTGGTGTTGGTCGTTTCAACTTGCTACCTGATGATGAGATAACCTTAAAAAAAATAATAAAAAGGTCACATTTTACTTGGTAAAATCTTTGCTAGAAATTCAACTTTCAAAGGTCTCCAAACACCTCCTTACATTTGCTCAGTTGAAAAGCAAATTAAAAGTCCAGGAAAACAAAGATTTCTCTTAAAGTATCCTAGGTCATATATTTTGATAATTCCCAAAATAAAAGTTTTATGTTCCAATTAAAAGTTTCAAAATGTCTTCAAATACCTTTTGTTTTACTAATTTCCACTATAAATGGAAAAAAAAAATCCTCAGTAAGATTACAATAGTTACAACAAACGATTATGGTGAATGAGTAAAGGAAAAAGAAATTCGAATAATCCTAGGTATCAAGATTTTGGGGTTAAAAATTTGAAATGAGTTTTAGCCCCACCTATTTGATATGGAGATTCAAGTATTACTCCAATCTCTTAACACTAAGTAGGTGCAGTAACTTTAGTAAGATCTTTTAGTCATTATCCTTATTGGTAAAATGCAGATAAAATTACCTAACTCGTGGATCAAATAAACTATGAGAAGCACATGACTGTGGGACTGAGACATCAGGAACAAGTCTGTGTGTGAAGAGCCTGGAGACCTGGGTTTGAGTTTGGGTTCCGGGACTGGTTGAAATCAACATCTGTCTTTGCTTCTCTCTTGGGAAATCAGGGATTAAATCCTGCCTCTCTGACTTCATTTCTACCACACTCCTCATCAGTCCATCCCAGCCACACTGGCTTCCTTGCTGTTTCACCAATGGCCCAGTGAGGGTCCCCCAGTCTTGTCCCCTTGCTGTTCATTTTGCCTGGACTGTTGTTCACAATCACTACCCCCCAAGGTACCCCAGATACGTGTGGCTGACCCCTCATTCCCTGCGGAGGCTCTACTGAAAGGATGACCTTAGCAGAGAGGTCTTGCCTCACTACTCAGAACACTGCTTGTACACTTCTATTCTCTCCCCTGCTTCCTGTGTTCTGCACAGTACTCATCACTGTCTTACGTATGATATTACTTGTTCGTTGCCTGTCTCTCCTGCATTAAAGCATCAACTTCATAAAAGCAGGGACTTTGTTTTGTTCACTCTCACATCCTCAGCATGTAAAATTGTCTGGCACAGAAGAGGAACTCAATAACAACTTGTTGAACAAATAAATGATATATAGAAGCACTTCCCAAACTGGAAAAGAGCTATATATTATTATCACTGCTGCCAACAGGTGCTATGTTTCCTATTTAAGTGATGTTTTTTGGTTTTTTAGATAGTAGTCTTAACTGCAGGAAAAAGAATATTTTAAATGTGTGGGTTTTTTTGTTTGTTTGTTTTTTTGTTTTGAGACAGAGTCTTGCTCCATCACCCAGACTGGAGCGCAGTGGCATACTTCACAGCTCATTGCAGCCTTGACTGCCCAGGCTCAAGCAATCCTCCCACCTCAGCCTCCCTACTGGCTGGCTTATTTTTGTATTTTTTGTAGAGACAGGGTTTCTCCATGTTGCCCAGGGTGGTCCTGAACTCCTGGGCTCAAGTGATCTGCTCACCTCAGCCTCACAAAGTGTTGGGATTACAGGGGTGAGCCACCTTGTCCAGACTTAAATCTGTGTGGGTTTTTTTCTTTTTTTTTTTTTTGAGACAGTCTCACTCTGTTGCCCAGGCTAGAGTGCAGTGGCACAATCTTGGCTCACTGCAACCTCTGCCTCCCAGGTTCCAGTGATCTCCTGCCTCAGCCTCCCTTGTAGCTGGGACAACCAGTGCCTCCACCACATCCAGCTAATTTTTGTATTTTTAGTAGATACGGAGTTTTGCCATGTTGGCCAGGCTGATCCTTAAACGTTTTAAACATCCATTATTTGACCTTGTCTCTACTTCGCTTTTTAAAAAACGAAAAAAAAAAAAAAAAAAAAAAAAAAAAGAAAACACAACCACTTACGCCACATGCTACAGCATGCCATTCTAATTTTTCTTTGAAATCAATTACGTAAATTGTTTTCCAGGACCTTTAAGACGTTTATGCAAATAGAAGAGAAAAGCAACCCATCTCATTGTGTTTGCTGTACTTCTTAAATTTATCAAGAAAAAGCATAAGCGACAGAAAGTGATTAACACTCAAGCACAAACTTTCCTGGCCACATAGGAGGAAGAGCACCAGTTTCAGAAGCTAAGGTTCCTGAGCACTGCTGCTGGAACACAACAGCTAGACCCCGGGCTAGAATTCCAAGTCAGAAGATGGCCTGGCTACAGAACACAATAAGTAAGGAAAGATGAAGCCTCAAAATGAAATGAAACAGAAAATAAAACCTTAAGACAGAACAAAAGCCCTGATTTATCAGAACTGTATGAGAATTTGTACCTCATCATTAAACATCTAAAATTTAAAATAGAACTTCTGAGATTTTTATGAAACTGGAGCCATTAAGGAAAGAAGAAAAGCAAGATGAGCAGGGTAAATCTAGGAGTTTAGTGGCAGTAGGTCCCCAGATCATACTCTAAACCAGATATGTTTCTGAACTGGAGTTTTAGCTTGGAGTAAAATGAACCTCTAAACAGCGGCTCATTCACAGCCATTGCCTTCTTGTACATCCCTTGTTTCCCTGGCTAAGGCTTTCTAAGACTGAAGGCAACACTGTCTTTTGAGGCACAAGAATCCAATGTTTCCCGGTAGGAGCTAGAATGCAAACTGCACTGCTATCAGACAAGCCACTAGTCCATGTTTTATTTCTAAAACACTGCTCTTCCAAAAGCGTTCAGGCATTTTAATGGCTGCACTTGAACATGCTTAATTGCTGGCATGTGTATTCAAATCAAGGCTACAGAAACTCAAGTGCCTAGGCCAAGAAATTCAGAAGCTAGAATGTGAGCCTCAGAGCAGTGTTCACTGGTGCTGTGCTTGGCTGAAGGAGACAGCACCCATGCCTCGGACCAGTGTGGTGTGGCAATACCAACCACCCTGGACATGTGTCTCAGGGTGGGTGGCGCCAACCACTCTTCTGTTCTAAGCAAAGATAGAACATTGTAGAACATGCGCCATAGTTGAATTTCAAGTGTTCATAACTCGTCTGAGTATCTGACATTTGGAGATTCCAAGAGGCCTGATTATAAATGATATCAATAAACAAATCTCCAGGAATGACCATCATTTACCATTCTGAACAAGTATCATTCTCAAGATTGTTATAAAGTTATTAAGTTATTAATCTAGTTTCAGGTATCTCTTATTTCTCTCCAATTTTGGTGAATCCGAGTTAGAAACCCCTGAAAACACTGGACTAGATGAATCAGCTGTGACAGCAAGCACCACAGAGATGGAAGAATGCAGGGATTCGTGTCAGGAAGAAGAGCTGGTCAAGTCCATTAGTGAGGGCCTTGTCTTGACTGTGTCCTCAGTCAGCAAAGCCATACTCTACCTCGGGGCTGGGCAGCTGGAGGTCAGGAGAATGGCTGTCCCTGATAGGGGTGCCAGCTTTACTGTTTACCAACCAGGGTTTGTCATAACAGCGAGAGAACTGAAGTGAAGTCTGTGAAACGGAAATCCAAAGGGAAGGATGGGAACAATTGAAAAAGGAACAAAAAGGGTGCACATTGGGAACAGAAAAAAATAGAAGATACTAAATTTTAAAGACACAGAAAACAAAATAAAATGCATGTTGGTCCATCAGGATGAGAAGGACCAGGCAGGCACTAACATCCTTCATACATAACCCATCGTAACATCAAACTTAGCTGTTAGCTCCACTGCACAGCCAATGCCTGGATTTTCTTTCCTTTTCCCTTAAATTTTTTATTTTTTTATTTTTATTTTTTAGAGACGGAGTCTTACTCTGTTGCCCAGGCTGGAGTGCAGTGGTGCATTCATAGCTCACTGCAGTCTTGCATTTCTGGGCTCAAGAAATCCTCTTGCCTGAGCCTCCTGAGTAGCTGGGACTATAGGTGCTCACCACTATGCTAGGCTAAATTTAAAAATTAGAGATGATAAATTTAGAAATTTGTAGAGATGGTCTTGCTATGTTGCCCACGCTGGTCTTGAACTTCTGGCCTCAAGGGATCCTCCCACCACAGCTTCCCAAAGGCTGGGATTACAGGCATGAGCCACTGTGTTCAGCCTGGATTTTCAAAAGTAGTAACACTGGACGGGCTCAAACTTAAAGTGAGAACATGAGGAAATAAACATTTCTGACATAACCAGGCTGAGTGCATATTTTAATAAATGTCCTTTGGAGTCATCTTAAAGGCCATATATCTGTGTACTGCTAGGAATAGGGCAGCCTTGGTCTGTATATTTTCATGTTTTATTTATAAAACAAAACATTTTTATTTTTATTTCTTCTCCTCACTGGAGTCTTTCAGAGGCTACCGTGAACAATGAACATCTGTGAGGGTGGGAGTGGGGAAGAAGGGCATAATGGAGATCAGTACGTACCTTGGTTCCACTGGCTGGGGTGGCTGGAGAAGATGGCATGGATGTACAGCTGTGGTTACTCTGACTAGCACTGGAGCTGGAACGAGTAGGGGAAGCTGCCCGGGAAGATGGTTTGGACCTTCGACCCCGTGAGCGGAAGGGGGTCATTCCCTGGGATGCCCCCTCTGGTAGGATGAATTTCTCTCTAAGTTCAATGTTAGTTCTACCTCGTGCTAAAAAGGAAATAAACACACACACAATATCAGTTATTCTCAAAAATGTATCTTTGATGGCTATACAGTGGCTTGACCCCATGATAACAGTTATATAAAGTTATATAGGTTTAGTATCATCTGTGGGTACTTCAAAAATAGAGACAAACTCATGACACATCAGCCTTGTCAAGGTTCCTACCCATAGCAGATATGTTAACTGTATAATAAGCAAGTCTCTGTGTATAAAGAAGGACCAGCCCACTCTGCTGTTAGTGTCTTGCTTTGCCACTGTCCCTGGAGTAAGCACACTGTGACTACTAGAGGTAAAGCAGATGCAACAGTTCACAAACCTCTGAAATTAAATCAAAAGCCCTCTTTTCTCTCTCATAGTACATGTGTACTTTTTGCTCAATTTTTGCAGGATAGAGTAGAGAAAAATATTACTGAAATCGACATTGTTTAGACTCTTCTATTTGAATTCAGTCAGTAACAATCCTAAAGAAAGGAGTCCAGGAACTCAGGACAGTAAAAAGATCAGGAGAGAATCATTAAGAAGTAAACATGTAGGTGGGGAGAGAGAGAGACATCAAGACCATGCACAAAACTTGCTAGTGAGAAACTGTTAAGTGAAAAACTGAAAGAAGTAAAAGGCTAAAGGAGCAACTGCAAGTAGGAGAGGAACATCAAGATGCAAAGAACATGGAGACAGCACGGGAAGCCAGTTAGCGCTGTCTTGTGGCTTTCTGGGGCTGCACAACCAGAACTTAAAATGCGGATTCCATTGGAAGATCTTACGCACAGCCAACACAAATGTTAAATGCGAAAGATGCTACTAATTTAAAAGACATAATCCCTCTAGAATATGTTCTTAGATTATTTCTCACTGTAAGATGTAATCCTGCAGAAACCCTCTACCTCCTCATCCACTCTAAACTGTGCACTCTTTACAAAGTACTAGACACAGCTAAACAAATGGGACTGCTGGAGAAAAGGCAATCATTATGAGCAAAATATTTGTCATTCTTTTCTATAACAGATGTTTAACTGGTCAGAAACCATAAATCTAGAAGGTGGCAGGAAATTTTGTCCACTTTCTCTTCTGTCCTACCCCATATGGCCCTCAAGGAATTTGAGGAATTTTGGTAGAATCAGGTTTTAAATCAGGTTACGTAAGTGTCCAAGCAGCATGGTTCCAAATTCCTAAATCAAATCCAAATTCTTCTCAATATATTATATGCTGACAGAACATATCAAAGTATCAGCTTAAAAGCACTCACTTGGATATCAAAACCTCTGAGTTATAGTCTAAGCTCTGTTGCCAACTGTGATTTTTTCCTGCTCTGGCCTCAGTTTCCTCAGGCTCACCAGAGACGATCAGGTCAACCGGTCTCTAAGAGCCCTGTTGTCTAGATGATCTATGACTTAATGGTCCCTGAAATGCTAAACTGTTTCCTTCCATGATCCAGTGTGTCCTTCCTCCTCAAGTCTCAACTATACGTGACCCTTGGCCGGGCAAAGTGGCTCACGTCTGTAATCCCAGCACTTTGGGAGGCCAAGATGGGTGATCACTTGAGGCCAGGAGTTCGAGACCAGCTTGGCCAACATGGCAAAACCCTGTCTTTACTAAAAATACAAAAATTAGCTGGGCATGGTGGTGCATGCCTGTAGTCCAAGATACTCAGGAGGCTGAGGCAGAAGAATCACTTGAACCCAGGAGGCAGAGGTTACAATGAGCTGAGATCACACCACTGCACTCCAGTCTGGGTGACAGAGTGAAACACCATCTCCAAAAAAAAAAAAAAAAATAAAGTTCACTTCTGAGCAAATGCTGCCAGAAAAAAAAAAAAAAAAGATGTAAGAGGAAAACTTTGAAATTGCATTGCAGTTGAAGGAAGTGACATTTTAAATGTTTTAGGAAGGGCATTCTCCAATACCATAACAGTGATATGTTCCCTATGCACTGCACAGTTCACAGAATGTGCAATAATGCACCTGACCGTAATTAGCATCCCTATGTTACAAAGAAACTGAAGTACTCACAGAGGCTGAGGTCAAGCAAAGTGGCAGTAGAGGTGGACCTACAACTCATGTCTTCCACTTGACTTGTCCTCTTTGTCCTCTGACCCCCAAGCCATTCCCAGCCTAGCTTTCTGCATCACCACCTACACTCGCTGTCTCCACTCCTCCCCTCAGACCACTCACGCTTCCATCCCCACCACTCACAGAAATAGCTCTGGCAAAGGTCACTGACAACCTCTATCTCAGGAGGGCAATGAAAATTGCTTAATGGCTCATGCCTGTAATCCCAGCACTTTTGGGAGGCTCAGGCAGAGTGCTCGAGCCCAGGTTGGAGACCAGCCTGGGCAACATGGTGAAACTCCAACTCTGCAAAAAATTAACAAATTAGCTAGGCATGGTGGCATGTGCCTGTAGACCCAGCTACTCTGGAGGCTGAGGTGGGAGGATTGCTTGGGCCTGGGAAGTCAAGGCTGCAGTGAGCTGTGATCACGCCACTGCCCTCTAACCTGGGTGAGAAAGACGCTGTCTCAAAAACCAAAATGACAACAAAAGTCACTTAATCTCACAACCCAAGGGACATCACTATTATAATGTTGGTGTGTCTTACTCCTTTGCACATCTGTGTGTGTGTGTGTATACACACATACTAAGTGTATGTATATATGTATACTAAGTGTATACGTGTGTGTATATGTGTATATATATCTCTAAGAGGGAGAACGGGACTGTGGACAGACCCAGTGGACACCCATGTTTTGGAAGTGCGCAGGGAGGAGCTGTCAGCAAAGGAGCAGGCGTCCTTGAAGCCAGGGGAGGACAGGGTTTCAAAAACACTGACCTGACCTCAGGTGACCCACCCGCCTCAGCCTCCCAAAGTGCTAGGATTACAGGCGTTGAGCCACCCCAGAAACTTTCCTCCATGCCCTACATGTCTCATGCAAAATTTTAACTAGCTGCTATGTATTATTTCATCATATGGATGTGAATTTATTTAACCAGTCCAATATTGCATTTTTGTTTAAATATTTTAAACATTGTAGCCAATGCTATGACAATTTGTAAAACATTTTGCATGTATCCACTATATTTCCTTAGAATAAATTTCTTTTTTCTTTTTTGAGACAGAGTCTTGGTCTGTTGCCCAGGCTGGAGTGCAGTGGCCCAATCTTGGCTCACTGTAACCTCTGCCTTCTGGGTTCAAGCAATTCTCCTGCCTCAGCCTCCTGGGTAGCTGGGACTACAGGCGCCCGCCACCACGCTTGGCTAATTTTTCGTATTTTTAGTAGAGACGGGGTTTCACCGTATTAGCCAGGATGGTCTCGATCTCCTGACCTTGTGATCTGCCTACCTTGGCCTCCCAAAGTGCTGGGATTACAGGCGTGAGCCACCGCGCCCAGCCTAGGATAAATTTCTACATGTAGATTTTCTGGGGAGAAATTACATGATGTTTTACCTTAGGTAAAAACATCAACTGATAAATGTCAACCATGTGTCAAGGTTGACAGATGCCAGCTGATTCCAAAATGTTATACTAGTGTACATTCTCCAAAATAATATGAGTATATTAAATTTACTTCATTCTGGCCAATTATTGTGCTATGAGCATGAGTGCATACAGGAAAAAAATCTCACAATTTGTTAGGTAAAAGCATCTCTCCGCTGTTGTAACTTGCACGTGGAGGGTTACTACACGCTGCTCTCTTGGTTTTGAAACCCTGTCCTCCCCTGACTTCAAGGATGCCTGCTCCCTTGCTGACCTCTCCCCCCCACCCACTTCTAAAACATGGGTGTCCTCTGGATCTGTCCACAGTCCCGTTCTCCCTCTTAGACTCCACCTGCTGATGACCTCACCCATTGAGGCTTCAGTGCCACCATACAGTCACACCCAACTCCAAATGTATTAGCAGGGCAGGCCTTCCTGCTGGATGCCAGAAGTTATATCCAATGGCTGATAAGACATGACCAGAGCTGGGAACCAAAACCCTGGCACCAACGTAGGTCCCTCCCTCCCGAGGACAGTTCAGTCTATTGATTCTACCTTGAATGCCTCTTGAATCCCTGAGCCTGTGCACGCCCCCTTGCACTCAGGTGTTTCATGGAGCACCCCCTCCCCACTGGGTATCTGTAGCAGCCTTCCCACTGGCCTCCTTGTTTCTCATCTCACCACCCACCCAGCCCTCACTCATTCTCTCATTCTGCAGAATGCATTTTTTTTCCTTTTTTTTTTTTGAGATAGGGTCTCACTTCGTCACTCAGGCTGGAGTGCAGTGATGCAAACATGGCTCACTGTAGCCTCCACCTCCCAGGCTCAAGCGATCCCCCGACCTCAGCCTCTCAAGTAGCTGGGACTATAGGCATGTACGTACCACCTTGCCTGGCTAATTTTTGTATTTTGCAGAATAAATTTCTAAATGAAAATCTGTTAACAGTTCAGAATCCTTCCATAGTGTTTCACTGCTTATAGCAGAATTCACCAAGTGAGGTTTTCTAGGGTTTTCCTACAAAAGGGGTTTGGTCCTCTGTATTTCCCTGCTTGGGAGAGCTTTAACTCAGCATCTCCCAAATGCATTTGACCATGACTTTTCATTTTTTTTGAGGACCACATCTTGGGGACTAGGAAGGCACAATGTGGCAAGTACCCAGGACCCAGTGGTCTGGCATCCATCACCTGGCCCCTGATGCTGACCCCTGTCCAGAGTCTTATCTGGTCGCTAACCTTGTACACTTGGCTGCAGTTCCATGGGACTACTTGTCCTCTTACTTTTTCAGCTGCTGACACTTCTGTTCATATGAACATGGGGTTTCTGTACTGAGAACGTCCAGATCCCTTTTCCTGTCTGGTCAAGTGTTACCTCCTTTAAGATGTAGCTGAAGCAACACCTCCTTTTCCTTTTTCAAAACCTTTTTCTTGAGATAGGGTCTCACTCTGTCACCCAGACCGGAGTGCAGTATATACACACATACACTGACACACACACACACACAAAATTTATTTTTAT